ATAAGGATAATCAGTGCCGTTTACATGGCCTCAGTGGTCCTTTAAACCAATGAAATGAAAACATTCAAATGTATATTTCCCCTTTTGCAAATAACGTGCGTCATATCAATTTCGTTTTTACCTTCTTTGTTTTTAAAGCCAAAATGCATCCAAGCATCTGACTTGAAATGTGATGGAGCCGCAGGGCGAATTTTCATAGTGTCCTCCATGTTTTATTTCATTTGACTCGTCTCAGTATCCCACGGCCGGACATGCTTGTGAGACAAAGCAGCGGGTGTCAACACATCCGCAGTGACATCTGCTGGACTGGAAGTTGTATTCCACTTGGTTTGGCCGATGTGCGCCAACCATTAATGTATTTTATTTGTTCATTTTTTTTATTTTTTTATAATTGATTCTTGCCTTCAAGAATCGATGCAGTAGATCACAAAAATTAGAATCGCGATGCATCGTCATGACGATTATTTTGCACACCCTTATTGGGAGGTGGTCGTGAGTCGCTGATCGCTCCTCATTACCCCTTGCACACTACACGATGCATCATTAGCTGGTAAGTAGGCCTTATTGAAAAATTCTTGCACGAGTGGAAAATTGTCCCGAAAGGGGTGTGCCCAGATTAAGACAGTAAAATAAAAATAAAAAAAACTCAAACAAAAGTTGTTGATCAGAGATCCTATTCTTTAAAAGCATCATCAGAGGCAACCTCTGATGATGCTTTTAAAGAGTTGGATCAATTCCAGCTACCTGAACAGGGATGATCCTATTTGGATACGGCAATGTAATTCTTCCTTCACGTTTCATCTATGCTAACAGAGCAAATAACCCCAAACCATTCCGATAACTCAAGCATGATTTCTATTTACCTTAGTTCGTCTTAGACTGAGAACTCTAAATTTAGAACTCTTCAAGGACATAACAAGGTTAAAGTTAGAGCATCTGGATTTAATTTGACGTTGGACCTTGATTTCCTCATCAATATGGATCTTTTATCCATATCTCTGCCATCTAACTGAAAATGTTCTTTGGTTCATGCCGGGATCTTAATCTCATGAGTATCTCATCATCACAGAAAATGGGCTAACAACACATGATTTCTGTTGTCCTTGTTACTCAACAAGATATTTTGGGCAAAAAGCCCAAATTTCTCCATGCTTTTTTGTCCTGAATAAGGACTATAAGCAATCACCCTGAAATAGCCATAAAATCATGATCAGTCCAGAAAGTTTTTCCTCATTAATAAACTTTTTCAGCCCTTCTTGTTAAATTTCCAGCCATACCATAAACTGGAGTTTAAGCCTCCTTGAATTAATTCAATCTGCTATCTTTCTCTTTTAATAACCCGTTAAAGGTTATTCTGCATTTTAAGGGTCACGTCAGTTGTCCCCAGAGAGGAAGCCTGTTAATTTCATTCTGGGGGATTAACACCAGCCTCCAGTGAATAAATGGCTGTTTTTAAGACGGTTTTGCTGAGGCGTGTGTGAAAAAACAATGTTTAGGATATTTTTTTTTTACAGTTTGTTTGTAGAATAGCTGTTATGGTTGTTTAAATGACAGTCTATGCGCATTAAAGTGTCTGAGTGTCTGCTGTTTGCAGACAGGGTGGTGAATGTGAGGGGCCGGGCCCCTTGGGAGCCTCGCCAATCAGGACTGAGAGACAGATTTGACTCACAAAGGCAGTGAATGAGGTGTTCAGGAACTCAAATTGACGGCGTACGTGATGGAAGGAGATTGAAAGCCTCCTTGAATTTTATCTTTTTTTAAACCTGCATATGCAGAATAACAGAATCTACCTTTATACATATTTCTGACAGACATGAGCTCTTTCAGGTTGTTTTATATAAAAATGTTTTCTATCGTGTATTTTTTCTGATTAAAATGTTCCATCTGTAATAAAGCTGCTGTCACTTGTCCTGCGACTGGTCATTTATCTTAATGAGGCATGGAGGAAGACTGGTACTGACCTTCATGTCAAGATTAGAAATTAATCTAAGTTTCAAAAGTGTTTACTGTGAGAGAATTAATTGGAACGGCAAAGTAAGGGTTTTTAGACGGAAGTGGCTTCAAGAAAAATAATAATATTACAGAAAATGTACTGGATTAAAACATTTACACTGCAACATAAAGTATTTAAACAATTTATACGGTAATCTGTGTATGTGATGATAATTTATAAATTAATACATTTAGCTAAATTCTGCACATTTTTTGATTACATATAATTTTATATTTTAACACATATTATGGTGAAGAGTTGAAAAAAAAATAAAGGGAATGAGCAAATTTAGGTGGACTTTAATAATTGTCTAAATAAAAATTAGCTGAGACAATGAAACATAGAAAAACTATAAATGACGCAAAATAAAAAAAAAAGAGCTAACTTATAAGGAAAATTTAAGGTTATACTTATCAAAAAGCAATTTCTACTGTAAGAAAAAATATCTTTAGTATGTAATTCAAATTAATTAGCAAATGTATCTGCAGTAGCGTGTGAAACTACAGCTATTCTCAATAAACTAGAATATTCATTGTGGTTCATTCTTATTGTAAATAATTGCTGAAATAAGCAGGTATCAGTCAGATACAGTACTTCACTTTAAACTCAAGATAAAGAAATTATTTTTGCATCGTTCTACGAAAAGATAGATAGATAGATAGATAGATAGATAGATAGATAGATAGATAGATAGATAGATAGATAGATAGATAGATAGATAGATAGATAGATTAGCTGTTTTATGCAATGTTCAGTCAAACTTCTACACTTGCTGACAGGCATGTTGGTTCACTGTTCATGATTAAGGCATTTTTATTTGTCTGGGACAGTTTATTTTTAGAATTATTGTTATAAACAAAAATACAAAATAAATATTTCATTTTACCAAATCATAATTTGGTCATTTTGTATTTATTTCTTTTTTAGTTTGGTATTAATTGAATTACTAGCGTGTGTAAACGTTTAAACACATCTTTACACACGCTGAGATGTTTCATTTGTTTTGATTCTCCAGTAGGAAACATGCTATTAAGACAACTAGGACTATGGGATAAGGCTGCTAGCAGATTGGAATCAGTTTGCCTGTCATCCTTTAACAAATGGTTCTGAAACATGGTCCATCTTAAAACATACTAAACAGTTTCAAAAATTTCTTGATGTCTCCAAATATATAAAATATAAAATAAATCTTTTTTCACCGCCTTCCATATCCTGTTTTTGACTTCCTGCTTTGATCAAACTCCTCACCATCTGACCGTGCTTCACATCTGCCACCTCAATAAAACCTGAATGTCAGACTCTAACCTTTGTAGCGTGTTGCATCTTTTCATGTGATGAGTCAGCATTTAGCAAAACGAGTCAGCAAAAACTCTACAACGGCGCACAAAGCATAAAAGATCAAAATGAATCTTTTTTTTTCAAACAATGATCCAGAAGTTTGCACGCTCAGCAGTAGATCAGCTTTTCCTGCACAGATGAGCTTAAAGACAGGCGCTCCAACACACACACACACACACACACACACACACACAAACATGCGTTCTTACCTGAGCTCCGGGTACACATTGTCCAGGTACCACTTGAAGGATTTGCACTTGAGCTTTTTCCGAAGTTCCACTCTGCCTTGAATGCTGTGAGACAAAAAAAGGGAAAATCCAGACAAGCAGACAGTCAGCCTGGCAGATAAACAGCACATCAGAAAGCCAGACACACCTTCACCAACACTCAGGAAGGTAGACGCGAAATAACTCATAATAATGGGCAAGATTATGATAGATAATGAAATACTACTGCAGAGTCGGACAAATAATGACGGCGTATGATGTGAAAATGTCAGTGTTCACATGTTCCTGACAGATAAACTGACATTTCACTGAGATCCTCTGGCTGCTCCAACAGTGACTGTGAATGTTTATTCTTACAATCCGTGTGAGATTAAACCACGGGGGTGTGGAGAAACATTTAGTTTAGGCTAAAAAAATATAAAATGAACATGCAGGCTTTAGAGCAGGGATTCATCAGCCTCTTTGGTTAACCACACAAGAGAATACTCTTTTACAACTGAGAGAAAAGCTCTTTTAGCTTGATGACTGCATCAATCCAAAGTTTGAATCCCCAAAAGAGCCACTTAATGAGAATATTTCTAAATGACTGGATATTTTCCGCTTTGTAATGACCCAAACCCTGCCGATAACATTTCAAACTGTAACAATCTCTTTGGTTCTAGTAGGGAGCAATAAACCTCTTTTTATGTTGATTAAGCAAAATCATTTGCAATCCTGCGAGTCGCTCTGCAGAACCCATAACAATATAACGGAGTGATGAGGAAGCAGGACAATTAGAGAGGGTATATTTATGATGAGTGCATCAGTTTTGTTTATTCTTACTCTCCGTAGGATTTCCCTCGAGCAGCAGGCCGGGCAGAGTAGTAAAACAGGCTGAAGTCGTCCATCCACACCTCAGCTGTACGGCGTGTGTTCCTGTTTCCACCAACACACAAAAAAAACGCTTTTACAGAGAAATAGTTACAATGGTTTCCAGTAAGGATAACAATAAGATGGAGGCCACTTAAGCTGAACCTTTTAAAGGCACACTATGCAACATTTTTCAGTTAATTAATGTGTTCCATAACGTTTTGGATGATTAAATGAGTCATTTCAGGTTGAACAAAGGTTTTCTCGGCCGCCCTGGTGGTCTGTAGGGGAAATACCGCACTTGCAATTGCAGGAGCACCGACCCGCACCCACAGGCTCAGAAGTCTCGCGAGAGAGTCGGTCTTGCTTTACGGCGAAAACTGCTACACGCCCCCAGTTAAAAGCATGCTCGTTGCTAGCGCAGTGGCGATCTTTGTGCCGTTATCATGGCGGAACCAGCGTGAAAACAGCGAAAGCCCATGTCGGAGCAGGCAAGAAAGAGGAAAAGGGCTCCGGACAGAGAGAGGAGTCGTACACGGGTGAACATCGGGCAAGCTTTTTCCGAATGGCGAGAGCTAAAATAAAAAGAAGGCTGCAAGGCTGACGCGGACCTCGCGTTTCTGCTGATGCGATTGTAAGTAACATTGGAATGGTTTCTCTCTCTCTGTGTGCATGTTCATACTTTCACTGTGTTTTGTAATTCGTTGCGTTCGCCTGTCTGCTAAGCTCAAAACAACCGCGCCTGGCTTGACGGAGAAACCAGGAGAACAGCTGTGCATATTTACGACAGTGCACTTTTACTTTCGCCCTCTGGGGGGTGCCTCGCTGGAAAATCAACACCGGTTCATAGTATACCTTTAAAGGAAGCATGGAAAGAGAAAACTTGTACTTCTTCTGCTGATGAAGATTCTCAGTCATCCAGGTCATAGTCATTCCGTAAAAGTTCAAAAAATCCACTGGACTTGGTTTCCAAGATTTGAAGACGTTTCGCCACCTCTCCAGGAAGGTGGCGAAACGTCTTTAAATGTTGGAAACCAAGTCCAGTGGATTTTTTTGAACTTTTACGGAAAGATATACTTCTTCTGTTTGCCAGAGAGGCTTTAGAGACAGTGTCCGGTTCTTTGATAGGTTTTTTTCTTAAGAAGAACTGAAAAACAGACTTATCGATACTATTCCTGCAGGAAGGAGAGTAAGTTGAACCCCAGAGTCAAACATACTGTCTCCCACTGGCCCTCCTCTGCAGAGCATTTATTAACAGAACATCACACATGGTTACAAACAGAGTATTGTTCTGACAGAACAATTGATCAGTTCATGAAGACAGAATGCTCCATCAGAATAACAAGGCAGGATGCTCTCCTGACTGGATCATGAGACAGGAGTGGAGCATCCCCTTGCACAAATGTTTCATAAGCACACATTCATTTTATAATCATCATAGAATAAACCCAACAGACAGTCTGGGACTTATAGTAGCAGCCATTCAAAATGGTCCTTCCCAGTCAATCTCCAGCCAAATGGCAGGCCGCTTCCCTACAGCTCCCAGCGAAATCCCCTCCAACTGCCAGCCACTGGAGTGACCCCTTACTGCATTCACTGAACTAGAGGGTCTGACCAGGAGATGACACTTTTCTTTATATCTTAATGTTGACAATCATGACAGGAAAATATTTTAATACAAATATTGATGTTTAAGACGGATCAGCCAAGGACCAGCCAACGGCCCATCAAGGAAAGTGGGGAAATCTTGATTGGCTACTACTATTTAGAATAATGTCTTTAGGATAGAGGATTTAAAATAATTATTTGGACACTGTAAAGAGGACCAAAGAGAAAATCACAGGAAAATACCATTATATGAAATGTAAGGCATGAAGGTGGTGCCTTCATGGTTTGGGGTTCATTTGCTAGAGTAGTAACTGACCAGATAACTACAATAGAGTCCACTATGATATTCAGGGGGTGCTGAAACAAAATGCTCAAACATCTGAAAAAGAAAATAAACTGGAGGAGAATCGGAATTTGCACCATGTCAATAACCCAAATATATACAGTTAAATCAATCTTGGCTTGGCCTAGTCAAAGCTTGATTAGATCCAGGTACTGTAGATTGTTTGGAAACAGGCTGAACAGCAAACCAACCCTTCCACAGACCGGTGTCAGAACCTGGCAGGTGGTTTCAAGAACCTTCCAACTTTAACCTACCATCACCTTTTTTCCTCTGTTAGAAAACATATCTTTGTTTTTATTTGGTAAAACCCGTTTATTATTTTGGTTGTTTCTTTTTCAGAGCATAAATAAAAAAATAAGATCTTTTGTTATGTCAATATGTTTAGTAAATAGAAAAACGACATTTTAAAGCATTAGTCTAATCCCTCTTATGACCGTTTTAACTTTAACTTTTTCCTGATTTTGTTATAATTTAAGATACGTTTTATGCAGAGAAGAAGTAGGAAAATGAAACAGCCTGAAGTCGAAAAAAATACCATAAACATAATAAGGAATGGATGACGCCACACAGGTAAAGAAGGTAGTAAAAAAGAAGGATGGGCGTGCAGGTGGAGCAGAGTTAGCGCGCACGACCTATGTACAGATTCCTTAGTCCTCGATGCGGTCGACTGTGATCCTTTGCCGTATGTCTCTCCCCCTCTCTCCTGCCAGCCTACTGTCGAAAAAAAAATGCTGGGTGTGAAGAAACGACGAAAATTAAACAGCTTTTAAAATACTGATTCTGATTTAAATTCAGTTCAGTTCATTTTTAAGGGACCAATTGTCAACACATGTCATTGCAAGGCTCTTCACATAGAAAATACAGTCAGACTAGTTAAAAGTTTCTGTCTTTGACTTGCTAGACGTGCTCTCTTTGGGGCAGATTGCGGTGACGATATTCGTTTGCATTTTGTTGTCGAATGTCCAGCAATCCCTCACACCCATACAGCTAGAGTGAAGAGGAAAACCCCCGTTTGACAGGAAGAAACCTCCAGCAGAACCAGGCTGTGTGGGTGGCCATCTGCCAAGGCCGAGTGGGGTTCAAGGAGACAGGAGCAGACATACAAAAGGTAACTGTTGACTAGCTGGCCCCGTCCAGGTGGCCCCGTCCAGAAAAGACAAAGCCAGGCAGACAAGCTCCAAGCCAATTCTCAGGTCAGAAAATGAAAGAGAGCACATACAGTTCGGCACAGAAAAAAACAAAAAACAGAACAACACTGAAAAAAACAAGCCAAACGCCGACATCTATAGAGATGTTGATGGTACGGTTCCATGAAGTCACAATGAAGGAGCAGACCAGATTAAGCTACTCTGACAAGAATAAGAAGCTTCAACATAAAACTGACAAATACTGCAAAAAGGGGTAAATTGAGACAGAATAAAGCAGAATGGTGAAAAGTGGTCCCTATGTCCTCCAGCAGCTTAAACATATAGCAGCACAATTATATAAAATAGCTCAGGATAATTTAACAATTTGGCAAGAGATGAGAAATAGTTTAGGAGAAATGATTTGGATTAAGGAAAAACTTCTGTCTGGGCTGAATTCTCCCTGCTGGATCGGGCTATTTACTCTACCTCCTAGAGGTACATTATAAAACAGAATCACAACATAGAAATTTGCTGATGTTGTTTGATGGCTGATTTGGCTCAGATTCAAAAATATGCTTCAAACTTATCTCCTCTGGAAGCTATTTTCAAATGCAGCCAGTTTAAAGATAATCATGGTAGGACCCCGAACCAACCAAGAAGCTTGTCGTATAGACTAAAACACTAGCTTTGTCTGGACTTGGCCCAAACCTGAGTTTAATTTTAATTGCAGAGGGAGAGTTGAGTTATTTTTTTTTGTCTGTATGATAAATTATCTCTTTTATTGTGTACTTTGATGCTGATTCTGATCCTGCTGATGTGAACGAAGGCTGCAGGAGGAAGGAAAGAGAAAACCATTAAAAACAGACCTCATGAGGCTCAGTCAGCTAACCTGCTGCTCCAGCGAAGGAAACTCAGCCCACCTTCGATAAGATCTGAATGATTGATCACCAAACACAAGTCTAAGCTAACTTTTTCCTTTTTTTTAAATTCAAACGCTGATTATCGATCTGATCATGTTTCTGCATAAATATAAGCATGCTGCATCTTTTTATTCAGCTCAAAACAATATTTTCAGGTCTAAAATCATCTTTTGATCAAAATTCTGTGTCCGAATCCCATCAGCTCATTTCTATTCAACTCAACTCAGTGCACTTTATTCACCCACACAACTGCAATGGTAAAGCCCATTTTCTCTGCCTCTCATCCCATTTACCCCTTTTGTCTCATTCTCCCTACCCTCTCAGTGTGTCTCTATTGTAATTAGCTATTAGCAGAGTTTCTGCGAGCTGTGAGCGATCTCATTGAATTGACAGAAACCCTCCATTATGAGCATTACAGGCGCCTGCCGAGGCAGTTTAATGAACGAGGAACAGAGAGGGGACACGTAATGCTTGTGGGCGTTAAAACATAAATAAGTGTTGCAGCACAAGAGCTTTAAATTAGAGTCTCCGGTCGTGCACACGCATCCATATGAAAGAAGTTCACAACGGAAACGGCATAATCTTTGTAATCGAGTTATCAAGTGGTAATTTTGGTGGAGCGTAGATTCATAACGCTGTCTGCCGACACAGAAGCTTCCTGCTAATTAACCGGCAGAGCAACACACCAGCAGACGACGGCAGCTTTGTTTCGGAGAGCGCTGTCGATCACAAACACGGGGTCGCCGTGATACGAGCTAAAGTCATCATCCTCTTCGCAGAACAGATGTTGCCTCGGTAACGACCATCGGGGAACAAAATGAACAACTAAAGAGTGGAGAGAAAAAGAAAAGCCTCAGTGTTGCTGTGAAAAAGGCAGTTGACACAAAACAATAAGTTTTAATGGGTGGTTTGGTGGAAGCTTTGCTCTGAAGTGCTGTTTGGCAGCCAGAGAGCTCGTTCTGGGAGCTGAACCTTCTATCCTGGTATCTTTAGGGCCTCGCTCTGCCAATTAAACCACAGAGTGAACCGAACTCCCACACCTTGTAGCTTAAATGTTTTGCTTACAGACCGAGGTTAATGACTGACTGAACAGCTAAAGGAATAATCTGTTGGATAAATCATCGGTCTGCAGCATTAAGTGGATCCCACGAGTAATGCAGTGATGGAGTGTCGCAATTAAGCTGTTGCTCTTCCTAACATCTCCTAGTTTGTCATCTTCACTGCTGACCAGGAGGCATCAATTTGCACCAAAAGTGATTTACATAAAAAAGGAATTGCATTAAATGATTAAGTTTTCATTTTTTTTTCATGTTTTAATCCTTAGCATGAGGGACAAACTGTGGAGAAATATTAACTTTAATTCTGTTATCTGAAAGCAACATGTAATCCTCTTACAGCCTTGATTGATCTGCTAATACAAGATCAATTCACATGTGTTCTGAACACATTACTCCTGTTAATGGATTACTGGCCTGCCTGTAAACATCTCTCAGTGTAAACGGGTTGAAAGGCGCAGAGAGAAAGAATACAGCTTATGCTAATGGGATAATATTGTACTGGCAGCTCAAAGGCTCCCGGGCAGCTGTAAATCCACCTCAACAATGATGTTAGCAGAGAGCGGTGGCTGCGTCACACAGCTCACAGCGGAAAACTCTGAAAGTCCGTTTGCTCCGAGTGCATCAAGTCAGCCGGCAATTAAAGACAGCGGGGAGGCTGTGAGTGCAGCAGGAGGGGGGGAGAAAAATCAAGGGAAAGGACGGTGTGAGTTTACAGAGAAACAAAAAAGTTAGGAATGAAGAAAAAATACAAAAGAAGATGAACAATACTTTATTCATTTATCACTGTGGGGTATTTTGCTATTGAAATCAACATTCCATGAAAGCAAGATAATATTGGAGCGGGAAAGTTCAGCTAAATGCTGTGAAATTATTGCTGTTTCTCAATTTACTAGAACGTGAGTGCTTGAGAAGAACACAGGAAAGTATGGACTCAGGGAAAACGGGAACATGCAACATAAATATGGGTCAATTGGAACAG